AAATATATAGAAAAAAGGTTTTTTCTTAACAGCGGTCGTCCGTCGGCAGGCAATGGCAAACCTCCGAGTGTATTTCTGCCATGAAAAAATAGCTTCTCATAAAAATACAATCGCCGTTCGGAGTCGGCGTAAAACTGTAGGTCCCTCCGCTTTGTGTGACAACATCAAGGCGCACGCCACAAGTCGGAGGAGAAGCTCGGCCAAACACTAACATATGTGTAAGCGCCAATCTATTATATTATTATTATTAATGCAAATTTATTTCTAAACACAATTTTGTGTAGCCCAAAAAGTGTATTTCTTAACAAAAAAAAAATGTTTTTTTATCAAGTTCAGTACTCGTGTACTCAGCAGCTGTCTCGGCGATGTCAATTGGCCAACTCGAAACTACGATTTGAGGCCGTTAGACATTTTTGTGGGATGCCGTGAAGGACTGATGTTATACGAAGAATCCATTAACGATTCAGGCTTTAAGGCGAATATCGAGCAAGCCATTTGTGAGACATCGCCAGAAACCGTCACCAAGGTATTGAAAAACTGGGTTCACAGGATGCGCTACTGCGAAGCCAGCCAAGGCTGTCACATGAATCAAATTATGTTTCATAAATTATGGGAATGTTTGCTCTTTCGAATAAGCCATTAATATACAGAATAAAATTGATTTTTGTAATTTTTTTTGAATTAACAAAAAAAAACCTCTATATGGAACACCCTTTATACATATATAGCAGAGATACTAATAAATATCTATATGTATGAAGGTTTCCACAATTATGCATAAACATTTGCAATGCTTTCAGCTGGTCTAATCTAACAAATCTCTGGAATTTAAAATATACAAGTGGCCAACCTAATTGAGAATTTTCCCAAGGGGCACATACTAAATTATTGATTTACAATAACAAAGATTTAAAAAATTCCATTTAATAGTAAAAAAAACAATACAACCAAAAGTGTGGATATATTTCCGGAGTGCACTTTTTGCCGAGGACTTTTTTTTTATTTTTTATTTTTTCTAAAAATAAAAGAAAATCAACACTGAAAAGCAGTAGAGCTTACTGATCGGTTAGCACATTCGATTCGCTGCACATTGAAAAAAAAGTGCCTGTCAACTTCGAAGTTCCTCCTGCAACGATTGCAAGCGAATAAGTAGAAGTGATTATGTGCAACCAGTGAATGTTGTTTAAAACCAGGCAATAGATGAAATCAAAGAGGAAATGGCCAATAACAAAATAAAAACAGCGTTGAAAAAAAGTGTTCCACGAAGATAAAAAAGAAGAGTTAGAGAGCAAAGTATGAGTAAGTTAAACACCCATGGCCACCAGTTAACTGGCTATGAGACGTATGGCGTATCTCTAATGGCTTTACTATGATGCTCCTCTAACTGACTCATTGTAGTGGGCAATTGAAGGTAAATGACAGCGATGCGGGTGGGTGTGTGAGCATTCGAGTGTGTGCTAGCGACGCTCAATCTTATGCGCCTCATTACTAACAATCAACAACAAAAAAAAAACAAAAAAAGCAAAAAAGGCAACACTCTACACCTCGACAAAAAGTAAAAAAAAAAATCGACCATTTTGTGCCGGTAATAATGAAGTTGCTTATGACTCACTGCGTCAGCCATCAAAACATACGTTAACACAGAAAATCACAAACATACATACACATGTATGTATCTAAGTATATATAGTAAAAACCAGTAACTAATCTTTGTTTTTGTGTACGTACAAATTTACTCGTACTTGCACTTGTTCCAGTCATTGTTAGCGGTCGTGCGCGTTGTTTTGTTGGCGTGTCATTTTTTGCAATCGCTCTTTTTTGCTTAAATTTTTCAATTATTTCTATGCTTTTTTTCTTGCCTGCTCTTGTCATTTGCACCGTTTACAATGCATCTTAAGTCGCTTGTTGACTGCGATTTCAATGGATTTTTGTTTTTTTTTTTGTGTAGCTATCGTGTTAATTTATCATATCGATGAAGTCAGACTTTGAGACAGGTTGACGGGAGCTTTTCACTCTCCTCTTTTTTGTTTGCTGTTAAAGTATGTATGTAGTTGTTTGTATGTGTGTATCTATGTATGTGTTGTCAATGGAAAACTAGGTAACCGAAGTGAAAAATAGCGAGTTTTGAAGAATTTCAATTCACACAAAATACCGCAAATTGATTTTAAAAGGAAGTAACATAAATAAACAGCTACACTGTCGGAACAAAGTATTGGCACAGCAAATTTTTCACAATATATGCAACAATTTTTATTCTAATATTTTTCCGCCAATTTTGTATAAAAATATGGTTCATTCAACAACAAAAAACATAAAAATATAATTCCTAAACTTTTCAAACAAAATTTTCAACTTTTTAATCAGATTTTTTAGATTTTTTTGGGTATGCAGATTTCATTTCAATTTCATCATAATAAAGTGCAAATTTTAAGTAGCTAGGAATTACTGTTGATTTTTGGCAATTTTTTCACACAGTCTCTTCCATACATATTTTTTTTTCGAAAATACTTTATATGAAAAAAAAATGTAAAATGTTGTTGAAAATTAGCTGAATTTTCGCGAGTTTTGCACAATGTTTCGGAATTTTATTTTTATGCTTTTTGTGGTTGAATGAACCATATTTTTATACAAAAGTAGCGGAAAAATATTAGAAAAAAAATTTTGCATACATTGTGAAAAATTTGCTGTGCCAATACTTTGTTCCGGCAGTGTACATATAAATAACTGCGCTGGTAGTAACAAAATTATACTTTTTTATGCCGGTAATGCATTTTATTTTATGGGCAAAGTAATTTTTTATATCAGCAACATGTAATGAACTTTTTTAAAAAAGTTATTACGCCGTTTCTACAATAAAAAATGCCTATTTCAATTTTTGAATTTAAGTAAAAAATACCGAATTAAATTTTTTGATTTGAGTAAAAAAGCCCCGAAATCAATTTTTTTAATTTAAGTAAAAAAGTAGCAAAACACCCACACAACATGAAAATGATATTTGATAATTATAGGGGAAGATCAAAAAGTTGAAGAAAAAAAACTAGTTTATTAGTCCACGTTTATGACTAACAATACCAAGCAAACAGCAAAGAACTCATGTAGCTACGAAGGAATTATGGAATCCCAAGTTTCCCAGATGATGGGCTGTAATACCTGAACCGAGTTACAGACGAAGCAGCAGAGCCCTAGCAGAGGCCTAGGCACACCAGAAGGCACCTACACGAACCGACTTGCATGGGAGCACAACCACCCGACGAGAACGAGACAGGGCTTTGTCTGCCTCGGCAGACTCGCACCACTATAAGCAGAATAAAGGCAGATGTACCCAACGAGTACCTGGCAGGCGGAGGGTTACCTCAAGACTCACGGCACCTCCGCGCACGCCCCCGAAACCCCATCCAACTAACGCCCCTGTCCTTATGGACCAACCCAGTCGGAGTTGCTCACTTCCTGGGTCTTCCGTCAGTTGAACTTGGCGCAACGAAAGAGGGAAACCCAACCTAGGCAGGGTTTAGTAGCTGCTGCAACAACAACGAAGTTCGCTCGTCGACTGTTCATCGGCAACAGCGAAAAAAGACCATGATGATCATATGTACATATGTATGTACTTTAAAAGTTCTCGTAATTCTCCCGAGATCGCAGTTTTTATCTTTTAGGTTTATTCTTGCTGGCATTTTCCTTTTTCGTTGTAAAAGCTTCCTTCTTGAAACCTTCATATGTGTTTCAGTAAGCGAATCAACCGGGGGCGAATGTTGGTCGTCGCAATCGCTCTGCTGGGCGAAATTTGCCGTTCACCGATATTGTGGTTTTGCTATTATGTATTTGGTTTTCTATTTTCCTGTAGTGATAACATAAAGACGGAAACATTCTGAAGAAAAATTGCATTGAGAAAAATGGGGAAGCTTTTAGTTTTTGTTAATTGGAATTTGAAATTATTATTATTTTTTTTTTAATTTTATTTGTTTTCTATTCAAAATTATTTTCTTTTTGCTGTATTTGCATTCGAATTCGATGAAATCCAGGGACTTGTGCCCCCTTCTAAAATTTCACCGGAATCGACTGAAAGCGTAGAAAACACCGATAGAAAATGCGGAACTTTATATATTTTTTAAAGATTTTTTTTTGGGCGTAAACATTATGAACCACTGAATAATAGAAAATATACACAAAGACAAAAACATACATACTATGTATGTACATATGCAGCATACACTCATTTGAACTCAATGCCATAGATTGTATACGCGGCCAAGGAATCTCGAATCATCAATGCCGCTAAACAAAAAAAAAACAACACATCCACGCGAAATGCACACATACATCAAATTCAGCTCCGAATTTTGTTGAAATAAAAAATACCAAGAGATTTTTACTTAACAAATGACCTAAGGCAAACTTTTATTAGAAAACGATTTTTGAATTTTCTAAATCATTGCATAATTACATTTTAAGAAATATGGAATTTTACATTTATGTATGTAGTTCATATTGCTTGTTATCGATAAGTGATGTCTATAATTTATGTTTATACTCATACAAATCCTTTTTATGAAATTTACAAAATTCAATAATATCAAATTAGCATATGCTTTGTTTTTGATTTTGTATGATATAAGTACTTAAGTATAATGTTTGGTCGTAATTGCTACAAATAATTGCCTGTTAAATTTAATACTTAAAACAAACAGTAAAGTTGACGGAAATAATAAAATCACAAAAATTTACTATTCGCATAAATTAAAAGTTATCATTATAATTATACATATATGTATATGTACATATACGCACATATGTATGTATGTATGTATGTATGTATAGGTAAATAATCATCACATATTTATGATAGGCGGCATGACGGCTGATAGTTAAGAGTACATATGCACCGCTATAATTATAGATAAGCTAGATTATGTAATAAGGAAAAACAAAAACAATTAGGTCGTGTAGGTAATTGACTTTACAGTTAACTAACACAGTTGTTTTGTATATAGTATATATGTAACTTTTTGTGATATTTACAGAAAGTAGTGAAAATTTATTTAAATCCTAAGAAAACTGAGCTCTTTATTCATTGTTAAGTTGTTTAGGCCACCAGCTGTTTTACTAAATATATATAAAATTTAACAAATGATAACAAAAAACAGAAACTCAACTAAAAAATTATTTTCTGTTGAGTCGCGCGCAAAAAACGTTTGTTCCACAAGGTCTCTGACACATAGCAACTTTATGCATTAAATACTTAGAATTTCGCACAAAATTTCTTTAATTACATACATTTCCTCGAATAAGTTGCTTTAGTCAGCGGGTTTATTTGCCTGCTTTGTAATAAATTTCATTTAACATTTGCATTTTTCGTTTTCTTTTCATTAAATACTTACCAATGGCATTAAATTATGTATTTGGTCTCAAGCATTTCGCAGCTAATCGTTGACTCTGGCAAAAATTTGTATTTTGTAAGCAGTTTTGCAGCTGATAAACGTTGGCCAGTTGGTCGCTTTGGAGTTCGTTGGCGGTTGGGGGTTAGTGGTTGGTGGGTCGCTGGCGTTTGTGATCTCATTTATGGCGATGATCGTACATTGGTTTGTAGCTTGTATTGATTGATTGAAATAATACGAAGGAGCCGCATAACATGCACATATTATTATTATTATTTTTTTTTTTTACTGACTATTGCGATTGCTGTGATGCGCATTTTCTTTTATTATTTTTTGTTTCAAAATTTTCTGCGTGCATTAGTTGCATGCTTTGGCGGTTAGTTGAGGAGGCTTAAAAAAGATTACGTAGAGTGGCTAATATTTTGTTAGTTGTTTTTCTTTTTTTTTTTGCATTAGAACGAGCGTCAGTGCATTGGTTGTAGTTTGCTGGTACTTTGCTGTTGTTGTTGATTGCAATTACAAACAGTTGCAGTGCATTTGGTGTTTGAATGAAAGAAGTAGAAAATGGTGCTGCTCAACGGAAACGGAAACTCAGAGGTGCCTGTTGGTGCGCTTAGTTGCTGATTTGCTTTTTTTCTTGTTATTAACATACATATGCTCTTTTTGTTTTGTTGCTTGCAATTCCATTTGAGAGTGAGAGGTACATAGGTGTTTGGAATATGTTCAGCATTTGTTAGAGATCACCACAAATGCCATTTGCCATTCGTTAAGTGACACGCCCACAAAAATGAAAAAATAAAAACTGCAACAGTAGGGGCGTTCATGGATGCGTGCTCATAAATTTAATTGCGCTAAATGCATTCATACGAAACATACTTATCCGCTTAGTAATATGTATGTACTACTTGTAATATCCGAGCAAGAGCAGGCATTACGAGCTATTTTTCTCGCTAAGTTTATGAAATGGGCTGATCAACAGTTGAACAAAAAGTAAACATACAAATGCGATGTCAAAAATTAGGATTCAAAAATTTAAGTACAAAAAAGCAGCTGTGGCAAATGTGTAACATTATTTATTGGTTTAGTTTCAAGCACTACGATTTCGATTTGATACTATAAATTTGTAGCATATTTTTAATTTGCAATTAAAACAATTTTATTTTTATTTTATTATTATTTAAATGAAAATCGGAACATAAGTGTTTTTTCAGCATGTGGCAGCGTTTTTTATTTTGTTTTTTTTTTTTTTTTGTTTTACCAGATTTTGGTTTAAAGCAAATAGTTAAAAGCATTTGTTGTTGGTTTGAAGAGCAGCAAAAAAATAAGTGGGATGTGGCAAACGTACAAATACGGGCATGCAGTGTTAATAATCCAACATGAGTGTTTGTTGTTGTAGATGTTAGGTGGTTGTTGGGATGCGGTGTGACGTTATTGTGGCCATTGTTGTTTTAGGTGAAAGTGTGCCCATTTTTTTATTTTGTTGTTTAGGTTTTTTTTAAATTTATTGCATGTTATGTAAAACAACAGGCGCGCAAAGTAAAGTTGAGCAAAAATACAGTTAAAATAAAAAGAAGAAAAAATAAACAAAATAATCATGAGTATTATAAAGTAATTGTGGTTAGTAGGGATTGTGGTAGCGTTATAATTTTTAAAGATATCATAGAAAAATTTGTATTTATGGTAAATAAATTAGAAATAAGGTAGTAAATTAGAATTAGTAGATTCCGAGTTAATAAGGAATAAATTAGTGTTTGAATAAACTACAATAGTAACGAAAGCAATTGCACTTAATAATGCGAGCATTTTTAGCCAAAAGAAAGAAATAACGTTTTAATACTAAAATATTGATTCGGCTGGATTAAATAACTACGCTTTCAAATGTGCTCTGAATTAGTTGGCGAATGATGTTCACATCTGTGAATCTTGAAAAAAAGTAACTCAAAATTCAGATCAAGAAATATACATAACTGCTTGTGGATCATACAGGTTCAACGCAATTAATACACAAATAGGTATAACAGTAGTTTTTAGTTAGTATACTTAATCATGAAGGGAAAAAATATTTGCATTAGTGAATTTAAGTAGGTATATAAATTGATTTATACAAAAAAAAATCGTCCTAATTTTATTTTTTTTTTTTTTGAGTTGATCGCACCGCACTTTGGATCTAGGTATGCAATATGTAGTATGTGCATACAAAATTTTTGTTGGAAGTGCTGTCAAATCAATCGAGTTCTGTCGTGTGAAGCGTTTTTTGCAAATTTACAAAAATGTTTAAAAAAAATCAACAAAAATACTTTTATTTTAATTTAGTAAATTTGTCAGGTCATTAATTTTGTTATAAGCATTAAAATGTCTGGCAACACAGTTAAAATCGGAATTTTCTGCATGCACCGCGCAAAAAGACAAGCATCAGAAAGCTCTATTTTCGGAAATCAAGCAAGGTGTAACTGCTCTTGCAATTAATTTTGGAAATTCTAGAGTTTGGCAGACTTTTCAAAACTACTTGCACTGGCTACGTCTAACAGCCACTTTGCTTTAAATAAGCAATTTTACGAAAACCCAATGCGTTAAAAACTTTACCATTTGGGTGTTTCCATAAAAATGCACGTAAATGAGTTCAAACGACTTTATAACTTTAAATTTCGTATTCAGATGGCGAAAAAAGTTACGAAAACGCGAAACGGTTAAATAAAGAACTTCAAAAAATTAAATACAAACTTAAATTATACATGTACTACTTCTGGTAATGTACATGTATTACTGGTAAAAATATTGTATGGGGTAAAAATCTGTCACGTCCGATATATAACGTCCGTTATCACATTTTAATTCAAATTATAACCAACAACGAATTACTTCTGATTAAAAATTAATTGGTTGTAATCGTCCGTAATTTGTCTTTGTTTAAAGAATGTTTAGGAAAAGAAAACCACACAGGATTCGCAGAGTTTTGCTTATTTTTGCATGTACTCTGAAACCACTTCTGTTTTTGTCACGTCCGTTATGACCTCCGTTTCATCGATTTTCCCCACACCAGTGTTCTAAGTTCTTTTCCACTTCAAGCGCATAAGTTTTAGCTTTTGCATTAAAAATCAATTTGAATAGCTTTTTTACTTTTTCGAAAATGTGTTTTTTAGAGTTATTGCTTAATGCGTATAATTTTTGTTAAAATATCTAATCAATTTGGAATTTTTTGCAGCCACTGTTTTTTAAATCGCACGCAAAAGCTTTGTTTAATGATATTAAATCTATGCCATGCATAAAATCAGTGAACACAGTTTAAAACATCACTTAAAAAAAAAAACTATTTATTACTTTTACCCTAGTGGCCATTATACTTTTCGTTCGAAAAGGCCGTGACTAATCTTTTAATTTTTTTTTTGTCATAAAATGATGTGGAGAGTTGTAATTCGATGATCTCCACCACATAAATCAAAAGCGAATTTAGAATTTTTTATTAGTTATGACTTTTTGCATTTCAACGATGATGTTTGTTACGTCTTTTTGCATTTCAGCGTGCGTGCTTATCATAACAAATAAAAGCAATTTGCAAAAATTCTGTTTATAACTCAAGTACGCAGGCATTTGAAAGCGTAATCTTATCTACACACAACTAAATAATCAAGCAAATAAATTTGTATTTATGTATTTATATGCATATTTGTATGTACTAGGTACCTGAATAGCAGTGGGAAAACTCAAGTGATTACTTTTTTTTTACAAAATATTTACAGACTTTCATACACGAGTATGAGTAAGAGAAAATGATTCCAATTTTTTGATGGGTATTAAGACTTATCTGGTGTTGAGTTATTTGGTTTTTATTTATATTTTTTACTACTGCTACATATGCAAGTACTTTTGTGTGAATGCACTTTTTACACATGTGCAGGTGTTTCGTGTATGTACATACATACAATTTGTACATATGTATGTATGTATGTATGTATGTTGTGATTTCGTGTTTTCCTCGGTTATTTATTTACGTTAATTTAATTGTAATTTAATTTAAATTTTCCCTCTTCTTTTAATTCTTTCTGTTTTCAATTGAGTTTTCCAATATATAAAGAGATTTTTATATAGAGATATTTATTATATGTATATATGCTTTTAATAAGTAAGTAGTTTTTTGTTTGTTCTAGCATGTTTTTTTGTTTTCTTTAATAATAAATTTTTGCTATATAAGAGTTAACTAGAGAAATATGCAATAAATATGTAAGTAAATTTACATAGCGTGTAACTACTCTTATAATACATAAATGTGAGATTTCGAAGAAATTCAAACTATAGGTATGTATGTATATATATATGTATCAACTCAAAATTGCGTGAATGCGATGCTTTCTTAAAATTGTTGGTAAATGCGCTCTCAGCGTCGATTCTGTTTTAAATATTTTAAACATTTTCTTTGCTTTTGCTTTTTCTTGCAGCTCAAAAGCAAGCAAAATGAAAAGACCTTCAACTGATTTGTTACTAAACTTTTGACCGGAAATTCTTATCAACAATTACGAGAGAGATTGGAAAGTACAATACATAGTTTGTTTTAAATGTTTTGTTTTGTTCATTTACATATGTTTATGCAGTTTTACTTTTAAAATTTTGATGGTTTTTCTGCACTTGCATGCAACTTTTGTTATTTTGCCGTTTCATTTTCTTACTTTTTGCATTTTTATTTATTTTTTTATGTACAGTGGTCGTCCAGTATAACGAATGCCTTATTTAAATGTATTGATTACTCTAAATAACGAACGGTTGAAAAAAGGAGTATGCTGAATAACGAACGCTTGTTTACTTTGTGTGCTTAAATGACATGATTTTGCATGATTTTTGCGTACGTGGAATTACAATCAGTTCAAAAGAATAACTTCTTACAAGTGGTCGCGTTATTGAACTGGAAAAATACCTCCGTCACGTAAACGTTTGTTATTTATTAGGTGAAAAAATTATAAACGTAAACACATTAAGGGGAATTGCAATATGGGGCTCATATGTAATATATAGACTGATTTTATTGAAATCTCAAAATAAAACTTTAGTTCGTTATAACGTACTTTTCGATATAGCGTATGAACCCAGACATTATATCATTCTTTATACTGGACGACCACTGCATTTTTTATATTTACGCATTAAATTGTGGTTGCTTCGCATTATAACAGTAATCAATTAGATTTCATAATATAGCAAATACATTATAATTACTTTTGTTTAGCCTTTAATCAATAAATTAGGTAATTAAGTAATTATTCACCAAATAGGCCGCAAAAGCAGCTTACAAATTGGCAGCATTTACGGCCGCATGGCATTTGTATTTAGATACTCTAATCGCTTTCTAAATCGCTCGCAACTCAGCAGCAGCCGATCAGAGCAGACTGATGCTGAGTTTTGTTGTTGTGACATTTAGCAACATATTTTGAATATTTTTTACTTGGAGCGCGCGACACAAGATCTATATAATAACTAGTTATAATAATTGTTATTACTTTGTTGCTATACTTTTCTTTGTAACTATATGTATGTATGTAATAAATAATAAACATGTATGTAATAGTAATAATGTAATTGCATTTACATGAAAGTTGTGCCAACATATGAAGCAACTATGAGACCCAACACAGTCAAACATAACAGGATCATGATCTTCTTTCGGCGCGCCTTGCTCTGGTATTTGAGCGCTTTCTTTGTATCTTGAGTTGCCGTCTGCACGTAGTCCATAGCATGCTCCACATGATATTCAATGCGATCGATCATCTCGCCCTGCGACTCCACCAACATAGCCATATCCATAAACATGTCGTGTAGCTCTTTGATCGATGTCTCCAACTTCATAATATCAGCGTGACGAGCCTCTATATCGGCCAGGGTTTGTTTGGCCTGTTGCGTCTCCATAATAATGCCCTGCGTGAATACGGCTGGGTTGCCCTGCTCCAGCATGTCTTCCAGCTCTTCACTGGTCGTTGCACGGCCGGTAATCTCCAACTGACGTTGTATTCTGCCTTTGCAGCGCTCTCTGTAATCCGTCTGCGTGCGATTGTATTCTGTCATCACCTCGACGAATTTTCGTGAAAGCGTTGAATGCTGTGTTTTGCGTATACGCAAATCGGCGGACGATTTGTTTTGCTGCTCCTCTTGCTCGATATTTTGTTCGATGCTTTTTAGTTTTCCACGGACGCGATTCGCATTCTTCTTTATGTCGGCCATTAAATCTTCCAGCTCCTGTTTGGTTTTCTCATCAGATTGAGGGGCGGATAGAATAGCCGAGTGCTTCTTTTTAACTTCTTCGACATTGTCTTGCACCCGATCGATCATGCCACGTATCTCCTCCACCTGCTTGAAGAACTCATCCATGTAGGAATCATGGGCATCCACGTTGACCGCCACTTCCTCAGACTCCTCGTCATCGGATTGAGCGGCGTGAAGTGCGGCTAATCTGTCTTTTGTCATTTTGCAGATGGTTTTTACTACAAAGGCGTTGAAGGTTGTTTGCCTTTAAATTTATAAAGTTTGTTTCACAGTGGTAAAATTTCTCGTTAAACTGGAACAGTACACTGCCGGTATTTATTCCAAGTTTTACTTAATTTTTATTCTAATTATCTTTTATAAGCTAACTGGCTTTCGTTGACGTTTGTTCACGTCGTTCGTTGACTTTGTTGAGCTCAACTTTACGGTGATTATTTTTTAAGGGACAAGGGGAACGAGTGCTTCAATTTCAAGGCGATAAAAACTTATTAATTTATATGTATTTTTTGGCAGTCAATGCTCCTCTAAGACGCTAGTTTCGGTTATCACTTTTTTATGCAATTTCATTTACATAGTTGAATTTCCAAATTCGATCTCTTTGGGTAAACTTGACACCAGCACAATATATTTTTAATTTATTTTTTCTTTCACGCGATTATTCTTTTCGGCCTTTTCACTGTAGAATTTTGTCGGCCTCCCAGCGCACCGCGTGTGTGCAACACTTTCTAAGCCTGTATTTTCGGTTGCGGTGGTGGGTGGACGCGCGCGGTAGTTGTCGCTCGTGACTAGCGATTATCGATTTTTCCTTGCGAAATGCAAACGTTTGGACAAACGCCCGTACCCCCGTCTTGATTATCGTCGATTTCGAGGCGTATCTTCGAAAATTATATTTTTTAATTTAGGATATTGGCACTTCTAATAATTTTTCCCATGAATCACTTTGTTTTTGTTATTTAATATATATACGAGTCGTCTGTAACAAATTTATCTGTAAATATCTTGGTTCACTCGTTTATACCACGATGCGATTAGGGGCGGAGCGGCTGGTTTTAGCGTGCGTAATGGCAAACGGAGCGTTGAAGGCAACGCTCACGGTCAACAAATTCAATTTACTGCGATATCCACAGCTACTTTTGAAAATAATTTTGGCGACGTTAACAGCGACGATAGCGATAGCGTAAGCGACAATAGCAACCGCTGCATGACTCACTTTCTGCCTCACTTTTGCTTGGCAATTTCGTATCCACAGACTTTTTGTGGTTGAGAGTGTTTAATAATCTTAAAAATTTTACACACTAACCACTAAATTTATTTATTTGGTTTCGAAATCGAGTGTTCCTAATTCGTATCTGCAACTTTTGCACTTGTCAAGCACAAAAATGTATGCTTTACTTTTACTGACCACGTTCTATTCCTTGCACCTCCATACTCGCGCTGGGAGAAAAACTGTTGGTATCTGCTACTTGCTGCTGTTGCGTTCGCCTTTGGTGATGATGAAGGTGATGACGCTGTTGGACGAACACGTCGGAAACGTAGCTTATCGACGAAAAGCTTCCGAATAACAATAAGTGGGTAGAGTTATGATGGCAAAAATCAGCACAAATTGTTACTAGAATGCCTAAGCAGCGTTGAATGAGAGTGAATTGGATTTTGATTGTAGGGAGATGGTTTTTTGTGTATCGGATTTTTCTTTCACTTTGCTTTCCGTCTCTTGTGTGCTTTGCTTTATTCAATGACTGCTCTTTGTTTTACTTAAATTTTCACATTTGCCAGCGTATTATTCCGATGTTTTATCTGTATTTTTAAGATAATGGAATGTTTTGAGTTAATCGAAATAGTTTTTGCAAATTATTTAGATACTGGTATTCGTCAGACTACACACTATCATTAATTTACTTTTTTCTTATAATTATGATAAATGTTAAACCCACTTTAGCAACGTGCAAATCAAAGAAAAATCGATTTTTGCTCAGGGTCTCTTTTACAACCGAACGCGTACGCGCGCGGTTTCACGTTTATGCGGTGGGCGCGACAAGGCGGGTAATATCGGCTGTTGAAGACAAAGGAGACAAATTCAAGCTTATGTGCTGGCTTTCAGATTTATTGAAGAATTTTTTATTTCTTTTAGTAACACTGGGATGCGCGTTAAAAATGGCCAGTGGCAGCGTTGAATAATTTTCTTTTCAGCTCGATAATTGGCGCACGGACGCACGGGAACGCTCTCAACGCGTTGCTGGCTCTCGACAATCTAATGAAAGTAGCAAGAGCGACATCGTGTAAAGCTATGGCTGCATCAATATTTGCTCCATTGAATCACTATTCTCCACTATGCATCGCGTTTGTGGAATTCGTGAGCTCGTGTGGGTAATATTCCAAGTGCGTTTGCGTTATGTTTATACTTAAACGGGGGTGGGGTGTGCGTCACTACACACAGACGCACCTCTTTCAGAGAGTGCCTTTTGATCAGCCGTGGACACCGCTTATAAATTGTTTCCTCTTGTTATTAGGATACAAAAGCCGCTTCCGGCAAAGTAACACTAAAAATTGAAGGAAGTAAATTCTTACAAATCAATTAAAGCTCTAAACATCCACTATTTACCAATTAATTAGACAATTTTTCGCGATCCGTTTTTACACTTCCTTCCACTGGTATTTCTTTTCGTTTTCTGGCTTGCTTGTCACTATTACGTTTAGCACTCTTTCGCTTTCCTACGTTTGGCAACCCATTGCCAATACGTCAAGGCAAATTTGACAAATTTAATCAACGAAAACAATGCAGAACCGAGAGCGAGTGGAACATAAATTTAATTCGATTTTTATAAATTATATCCTTTTGGATAAAAAATTTAACTAAATGCTGTAAAAACGCTGAGAACTGTTATTGTTCGATTTCTGTAAATGTCAAAATGTTTACAGTATTGGATTATTCACTTTTTTTATTATCCACTTTTGCTTTAACCTCTTTATCACTTTTGACATTTCACTTTACGTCAGGTAAGAGTGATGTTACGTTGTGCAACGTAACTAACAGTGATGTTAGCATTCAATTTAGGGGCAAATTTTTGGCCCATTATTGCAGATATCAAAATGGGAGTAATGGGACTTAAACTCGAAAAAGTTTTGAAATACAAAATTTCATCAGCCTCCAAAAACTGATAAAAAGTGTATGAAAGATGCTTATAGGCGGCATACACGGTGCGTCTGACTCGCGAGTCGGTTTGGATGTGTTAGGGAAAATAGATATGTGTCAGTTACACAGACATGACTCCGTCGTGTCTCTGAGGACACAACTGTTACTACGTTTATACGTAAGCTATGTACAAATAAAAATAATTTGCAAATACCTAACTTACTGTTTATTCGATGGTAAAAACTTCTTTTTTAATATTGCATGATTATAAAAAGGCACTAATATGACCATCCAAAAAGAAAATAAGGTTAAAAATGGCAACGTCTTGATTATAAAAAAGCTAATAAGATGACCATCGAAAAAGATAATAAACCTAAGAATAGCGGCGTCTTGCGCTTATTTGCAAATAGCACACTAATCAATATTTATTTGCGTGATTTAGTTATATGCAAATAAAAAATTAACTCAGCGTTTATACAGCAAAGTTTACCATTTTGCAAATTTTTATTTGCAAATAATACATGCGTATAAACGTAGTATGTGTGTAGTCGAAAGGCGAGTCAACACGTACACAGATGACTCGCGTGTCAGACGCACCGTCTATGGTGCCTATTAGATATTGAAATAACAAAAATTCGTCCCATCAAAACCGCTACATGGAAACAAACTTAAAGATTTCTAATATTAACGTAATGGACAAATTAATTTTACACTACTCAACAGTGTAACAATATCATTTAATTGAGAAAAATTTTGTAATTTAATGTCCAGTAGAATGCCGGCGTAAGAATTCATTATTTTTAAACACGCACACTTTTTTAATAACTGGTTAAAATTGCAATATAATGTAAATATTTAAATTTAAAGCTCATTTCATATTTTTGCGTATGTCCTACCTAATGGTGTGGTTAAACGTGGCAATGCAAGCGCTTTTTCTACGCGTTTTGCTGTCAAAGTGCGAAATCGAAAGTATACTTTCACGTGTAAACAGCCAGAGTGTCCTTATTGCTGATTTGCAGAAATCACTTTCGGAAATAAAAATTGCAAGATGTAACTGCAACTGAAATTATGCAAAACCCCTTTCGAGAAATAATTTCAACTTGCTCGTACTGCACTAGCAATTTTAATTTTGCGTCAAGTGCTGTCAAATCTGTCAAGTGTGACGCGTTTTTTTTGTGAATATGAAAAATATGTGTAATTAATTTATTTTACTGATATGGACAAAAAGTAGTAGCGGAAAGTTTGATTTTCAGAAATAAAAAGTGCTTTCGAAAGTCACTTTACATTCAAGGTGTAACTGCTCCTGCAACTTCTTTTGGAAACTTGTACTTGCCACGTCTAATAGCTCCTTAATGTAAACCGTGCTAGTTTATGAAATGTTAGAATTATTTTTCAAAATCATTTAATTGAGAACATTATCTGCATTTTCGTAGAAAGGATTCACATTACAGCATCATTACGCACTGCTGTTATTTATAAATTCGCATTTCATTTTATTTTGTTGACCTTTGCATGCATGTATGCACTATGTTGCTTATGTTATCACTACGCCGCACTTTTTGCATGCTTATATTGGTATTCTGCATATCAGTCCAAGATCGTCGGGGGTTCGATAATAATTGAAAATGGCTGTACTTACCGGATATTTTGTTGTCAGTACAACACCACAAATTTCATCTCCGACCAGAAACTGTTCCCCCAACATTGCCATACACACATTTTCCCACGCTCGATCAATTTTATTCTTCCGTAAACGTATTACCCACTGGCCGCCTTTTGTGTTTGCTGGGTCCTCCCACATCGGCTTTATGCCCTGTTTAAAAAGGCTTAATTCTCGATATGGCTTCAATGCCGTTGGCCGTATAAGATGCGAGTATAGCGACCACCATTGTTGTACACTGGCACAACGCCCGACAACATGCAGTGATTTGCTATAATCCGTGGCACGATGTGTCCCCTTGCGTGAGAACCAAAGGCAGTATGTGTGCTGCAGTCGGTTCTCATTAGGCCCAACTTCTAAAGGTGGCAGTTTGTCCACATCTATTTCATTCTCCATATCACTGTCATCGCTGTCAGCGAGATCTTGCCATGGTTTCCTGAAAAAAT